CAATGACGCCGAGGAAAACCATCTGGCGAGAAAATGTTCTAAAATGCGTCTTTGACGCATCGGAAGGGAAGGTAGGACACGCTCTTCAAAGGACAACGCAGAGAATGCGAACGCGTGATGACGAGGCAGCTAATGAGAGCGCCGCTATCGGGTAAATGGGGGAAACGAAAGCACGTGGGCGCGTTTAGCGGGTAAACAAACGCATACGTCTCCATCCGCTAAACGCTCGACGGAGTCGTATTCTGTGCGGGACACCCCATAACTGCCATTAACGACTATCTTGCTGACAGTAATAGAAGATGATGACCCCATGACTCTAACTTATCGCGAAACTTAAACTATGACGATTGATGAATGGAAAGTACATAACTTGAAAACCACTATAGATCCCGCCACCCGCCAAACAATGTTTTCTCACGCACAACGCTGGAAATCACTAAATGTAGCAAGGGAGTTACTGATTTGGCCCCTGTGAAAAAATATGAGATGAACTGCGTAACGAATGCTTCTTGAAGAGTTAAAGGTGCAATAGAATCACGCTAATCTCTTCAGCGAGCATAGCCTTAGACTGCTGTTGTTTTTATTCTTTTTTTTTTTTAATTTGTACAGTATTTCTCGGCACTAAGATTACGCACCGCACCTGAAGTACTAATATCATGGGACTTATTTGACCTTGATATCCAGCCTCTTCGCCCTTTGTGCGCAAAATGGCAATTTTGTAACCTAAGCCACGCAAACTAGAAAAACTTTTTGACACGTCCTTTAACAATTAAAACGGATATTGATACGATCGTTTCAAAACGGTTCCCTAAAACTTTTTTATTGTTGTAGAATCTCTTGACAACTGAAGTAGAAGAGAAAGGTGCAAACATTTTTGTTTCTTTTGGTAGCCTCCAGATTGGAAGAACCGCTTTGGAGGAAATTTCGGCGAACTAACCCTCTAGTTTTGTTATTCATCCCGCAATCGCAAATCAGGCTCACGGAGATTAGTTTTGAAATTGTCTTCAATGCCCTGTTAACCTTCTTTTTAATACAAAGCAAATCGAACTTCGAGCCCATTTATTGCAAAGACTGTGAGTGCGCAACCGAGCTGGTGGTAGCTAATCATGACGCTTAACGCCCGAGACTGTGGTGCAGAAATTGAAAACTCTTAGTCGAAGGAACAGACACTGAAGGGAAAGGCTTAATTAAGACGTTCCCTTCTGTGTCTCTTCCGTTGACTAAAAGCTTTCTTCTTTACCACAGTCTAAGGTGTTAAAAAACTACATTATTACAGCGGAGTTGTTAAGGTCTAGTTTCTCCAGGATCGTGTCCGTCTGCAAACAAATGATGACAAAAATTCTGGACAGCTACCGCCATCTATGAGTGATGACGGCAACCAGACAACCGGCTTTTCGGCTGTCTGGTGGCCGCTGTCACTCATGGAGGGCGGCAACCTTTCGAGTTTTTCCACTATGGCTTACCCGGCTTGCCCGGCTAGCAGCCTGCCATTACTTCATTCCCGCCATAGTAGAGCCTCGCTGGTTTTCGTCCTTCATCAGTGTGGAAAGGCTGAATATATATATATATATATTCGACCACGGATATATTTTCTCAGATCAGGCATCGCAGTCACAATCAAGAAATGATGTTCGTCCTTTTCTTTTTCTTTCAGGCATTATCTTCGGGTCCCTGTGGATGTGGATAGTTCTTGGCGCCGTTCAATGCTCTGGTGAGTTACATAATGTTAACACTGAATTACGAACATTCACGAAAAAAAAAAAGATCAACGAAAAAACAAGGCATAATAAACGTACGCCTGGGACGCTGGACGCTGCAAACTGTGCCTCTAGAGCGCTAAGCAAAACATCGGTCGAGGGTGAGCCAGGTGTTTATATCGTCCGTCATCTGTGTAACTAACAACGCGTTAATTTCGAATGCTTGAAACTATAGACCTTTCCAATGAAACCGCCTTCTGGGCGCTGCCATTTTGTCTACTTAGATGTGGAAGGCGTTCTCAGCGCAATAATGCTCTTCCACAAAAAAAAAAAAAAAAAGAGACGCAGCGAATGTGTTTAGAGCCCGCTGACTGAGCATGTTTCGGCCTGGGTGATTAGCGCTGGCAAGGTCTCGAGGCACCGACAACTGAAGAATCGCAGGGCGAGTACCGATCAGCTTGTCTCGCTCCGCATCCGACGATTGCCAATAGGAAGCCGAATCACAAAACGGGGAGATAATTAGCCACGCCCTGCGCTTGTTAAGATGTCTGTAGGCATTGTGCGTGATCTAGAAGCTCAAAAATCTAATTGATTCATTCACTTAAAGGGACACTGACAGGGTATTTATGCTCACCGAGGTTTTTAGTTGTACGTGGCATATGAGAGCTCAACTACCCAGAACACAATTTGCGGCTCGAAATTCGGTTTCTTTCCGCCCGAAAACCGCCGATCAAGAATTGGCCGGTTCGAGTCTCGCGCACTCTCTTTTTCGCGGTCACGGGCCGTTTTCTAAGGTATCGATGCGACCACCAAATTTAATCAAAGTCGTGGGTCACTGAAGGCACACACTCAATATTAAAAATAGAAAAAAATATGAAACCCATTTTTTGTGGCTTCTAAAAAGCTGCAAATACGTTGATTGAAAAAAAAAGTTCCACAGACAACCGGAAGCATTCTGTGCGTTCGTCGTTTCGCGTATCGTGGGACTCGCGGGGACGGCGATGGCAGCGGACGACGGGCGTGGGACCTCTATTTCAGAACTGTCGTTCGCGGTACCGGCGAACTCTGTCTACCGTTAAAAGAGAAATTTGGGACTGATCAAAAGAATTGGTATTGATCCCGTACGACACGCCCGGCCACCAAGCCGATTCGCACTAAGACGTCGCCGAGCCGTCGCTCCCTTCTCGTGGCTGAAGACAACGCTCGCGCAAACGTCAAGCACGACGTGTCTACTTCGAGTTGAATATGCACGCGTACGATTTCTTTACTAGGTGCGAATGTCCCCAAAGCGTGGTGCTTCCCGACTTAGACCCGGGAGTGTTTTTGCTAGAGAAAAATCGACAGCAAACTTTCCAACTTACAGTTTACCGGCTGCATTACTACTAAGGAAAGAGATCCACCAGGAATGAGATGCCCCAGTAGCTCTGTGGGAAAGACGTCCGCTTCACACGCGGTAGGACCGGGTTCGGTCCCCCGTGAATTTTTTTTTTTCAAACATTTTCCGTTGTTTGCATATCTTTTTCGTTTTTTTACAATCATCACTGAAGAAGCGAACAAAAAAATAACAAACAAATGTTGTGGACGACACTTCGCTGAATTAAATGGTATGGGATTTCCGTTTTGACACCTGCGAACTCAATGTAATCACTTTCCACAAAATGCAAGGAGCATATAAATCAGGTAGCGTCCGCTTTCCGAGGTGCCCGTAAATGTTCTACGGGAATTGCAGCCAGCCATTGGTCCCGATCCCGTTGATCTTTCGGAAACTCTGTCGCACAATGCCGCTTTTTCCGGATGCAGGACATGTGAGCCAGCTCTTCACGCAACATCTTGGGTTTATTCTTTTCGGAGCCGATCATGGAAATTCATCACGGGCACTCACTACTCATCTCGAACTCCTCAATGTACAAAACAACTCATCTTGGAGTACAGAACAACGAGCGGAACAAACATAACTGCAAAAGAATCGCACGGCAAGCAGTTCCCGCACGCCGCATCGCACGCCGCATGTCGTGTCGTCTGCTACCGGAAAGGAGAAAAAAAAAAAAACGCACGGTCGGGTGTAGCCACGTGACTTCCGCCAGTCACTCTCTTCTCTCCACTTCTCCGACCTCCGTCGGGTTTCGGTTTCGGTTTCGAGCAGTTGCGTCTTTTGGCTTTATTAAAGAAATACGCTACTCTGTTGCAAAATATTAATTGGGTAGTCCTCCGACACCATAATGAAGCGCCTGGCAAAAAATAAAAAAAAAAATTTTTTGGGGGGTGTCAGTGTCCCTTTAAAGGAACTGACCTGTTTCTCTCAACAGCGAATAATACGCCGGTTAATTACAAAACACTCGTTCTAAGGCAGTTACGCCCTTGGAAGCTCCTGCATGTATACTAAATTCAACTTGCACTGCACTCGGAACACAAATAAATGGTATTTCTTCGTACACTTCAGCGAATGAACCATTGAATGAGCCAAAGAAAGGGAGAGAAAGAAAGAGAGAGAGAAAGGGGGAGGGAGAGTGATAAAATTGCTTTATTAGAAGGATGAAGAGATTAACCCAGCTTAATTATGCTGTGCCAATGAGAGAGTTACCATTCGGGCCATCGGGCTATGCTCAGTGACCATTGAGTCATCGAGCCTGGTCCAATGGTAATTCGGTTTCAGTAGCAAAAGCTGCGGTATTTCATTGTTGGTTTGTTTATTGAGGTTGCACGACAATCGCTGCGTGATAGCGCTCACTGCCTACACTGATTAAAGGAAGGCAACAACTTGTGGCTCGTGAGCATCCCAATGCGGCATAGAGCAGGCGACTTCTAAGCCTGTGGTACACAGACGAGAACATCTTTCGCTCTTAGAAGCCCCTGAGTGGATACTGCACAACATTGACCTCGGGGCACCAGCATCTAGGGGGAAAGATATCGAGCGGATCGGTAGCTCTGGTCTACGAACCAGAAAGGCCTCGTTTTTTTACTATGACTTGTTACCACCAGCAAGGCATAAATTAGGCTAGTTTGGAGGCACTTGTATACCGAAACTACAACGCAAAACACAAAATACTCTGCCAAATAGGCGCGAATTTGAAAATTTAACATAAAACTTTTGTGTGTGTGTGTGTGTAAAAAAGACGCATCAAAGTAACGTCACCGCTATGTCTATATGTTTGTCCTGTCTGTGTGTGTCGCGTTGTTGTTGTTGTTTCTGTATACCGTACCGTCTCTCGTCGTCCCGTCGCAGAAGACGCCGTGCTGTATTCGCAAGTGAAGGAGACCCGCAACGGCAGTTACCTGTCGCAGTTCGAGTGGCAGGTGCAGGACATGTACGCCCTGCTGCAGCGCTCATCCATGATGCACGGTCTGTTCCTGGCCGGTCCCGAGTTCTACACAGCCACGCCGGGCTACAGGGTCCGGCTGGGCCTGTCCTTCGGCCGCGTCAACCCGGCCAACGGAATGCCCTACCTTGGCGTCTGGTTCACCATCCTCAGGGGAAGGTACACGCTGCGCGCGAAAGTCAGAACCCAGTTCAGGTGCAACCGAAATCTTTTAGGAACTCTCCTTAAATCCATATTCATTGACACTTTTCTACGTGTCTGCTCCATATCTTCTAAAGCGGGATGTATCATGTATGACGATCGTGTCGAAGCCTAGCTGAACTTGTAAAGTTCCATCGTGATGTAATAAAAAATCTAGATTATAAAAAAGTTTTTTCAATAGTACTACACTCCTTCCGCTTTTTACAAAATGTACCAATGTTTCAGCGCGAGATAAAAACCTTTTTGGTAGCTTGTACTTGTCATTTAAGCAAGCGAGGAAAACGCACGCACCCTGCCATGAGCGCTTTAGGGGCTTTCGCTTTGCCCCTAAAACTGATTTGGGTAGTGAGTAACTTGACACTAACCCTGGTCACTGCCTTCCACCAGGTACGACGACGCTCTGGAATGGCCCTTTCAGTACAAGTTCAACATCAGCGTGATTGACCCGTCAGGCTCAGAAGAACACGCTCACGTGTCCATGAACCCCATGACGGCCATCTGCAGGCTCCGGAAGCAGTTCCAGCGCCCCGCCGTCCGCAAAAACGGCGACGGCGAGGGCTGCGGAAAGTCATTCCTGGTGCCGCACAGCAAGGTCCTGGGCTATATCGCCAACGACAGCCTGCTCATACGGCTGAGCATCTTCCTCGAGGACAAGGGCGCCATCCCCAAGAGGGCCAAGGCGTACATGAGGGGCCACCAGTTGGTCTCTGAGTTCCAGTGGGCCATCGACGACGTCGACTCCAAGATCAAGCAGGCCCGAAAGGGCGAGCTGCACTCCCTCACTAGCGACCTTTTCTATATCAACAGCGAAAGCTACCTGATGATTCTGCAGCTCATGTTCCATCCGGAGGACGAGCACCTAGGGCTCTTTGCGGTCGTCGTTCCGGGCGAGTTCGACGACAGCCTGGAGTGGCCTCTTTCCTACAGCTTCGAGCTATCTATAGTAGACCAGTCGCCCGGGTTCTTGACGGCCGATCGTAAGGGTGTCATAGATCCAACGTCGGGAGTTTGTTCGCTGAATGCCTTCACAAAGCCCCAGTACCAGCCCAACACGCCGTGCGGTTTTCGGAAGCTTGTCTCCTTCAGCGCGCTTGAACGCAACAACTTCAAGAAGGACGGAAAAATACTGCTTCGCTTCACGGCGATACTCGACCAGATGCCCAACTTCGCTTCGGTATCGGTGAAAGACAGACACCTGGTAGCTGAGTACACGTGGAAGGTGCCTAACATTGAAAGAAAGATTGCTCTCGCAAGCTCCGGCAGAGCCAGCAACCTATTAAGTGAACGCTTCTATACGAGACACCAGGGATACCTGATGCAAATGCAACTCAAGTTTCAGAATCACACTAACGGAAGTATTGGAGTATTCCTAACGCTTCTGGAAGGCGGCTATGACTCCCTTGCGAGATGGCCGTTCGTCAAAAGATTTGACCTCATCATCATTGATCAGCAGCACGGGAAGACCGGCAACGATGTTGTAGTTGCCGTCGACCCGAACAATCCGTACATCCGGAACGAAGCATGCGTCGGCTCCTTCTGGCGGCCCTTCGGTCGTAACGACGCCTGTGGCTCCTCAAGCACGATATCCTACGAAGAGGTCTACAATCGAAAGTACATCAGGTACGGCAGCTTACTGGTGAAAGTGGTGGTTTACATGGAAGAAATCGAACCACCCAACCAGGCCAAGCTTGTATTCCGAGACGACAGCGTTGTCGCCGAATACGATTGGCTAGTGAGCGACATCAAGGAGAAGGTGGCGCAGGCAAGGTCGGGCAGCCTCCAGTTTGTGGATAGCGAAAAATTCTACCTGACCAACGGCGGCTATCGTGTGATGCTCCGCCTCTATCCCGAAAAAACCCGAGGATTCATAGGGCTCTATGTCGTGTTCACGCGTGGAGCCTACGACAGCGTCCTCGACTGGCCGTTCACTCAGAAATACGAACTCGTCCTGGTCGATCAAAAAGACGCAACGGCGGACATCACGCACACCACGTTCGCGGCCTCCGGATGCCCCGACATTGCGCTCCAGAAGCCCATGCAGGAGTTTGCTGAGTGGAGCTGCGGAGAGAGCCAGATGGTAAGTCACGACGTCCTCGATGGTGACGAGTACGTGCTCAAGGGGGCCATCCGAGTTCGTTTTCGGGTCTTCCTTAAGGAGTACGCCAGCCACGTTGCTTCCATCGCCCTGCGTAACAATGCGCTCGTCTCCGAGTACCTTTGGGAGCTCAAGGACGTCCTCGCCAAGGTGAACTTACTCATGAACGGTGGGTTCTCCAAGGTTGAAAGCCCCCTCTTCTACACAGGGAACCAGGGCTACGCCATGAGAATCAGCGTCGTCCTGAACCGCGTCACGACGCCACTGCAGACGCTCGCCAGCAACGATGATCAGAGCGTGCTAGGTATCTACTTCACCCTATGGAAGGGTAAGCACGATAGCGTCCTGGCGTGGCCCTTTCCACATGCCATATCCCTGGCGCTAGTGGACCCTTCCAACTCAGGTCGAGACCTTGCCAAGACGGTGGATCCAACTAACGCGCGCTGTCCTCCAGAGGCATTCCACCGACCAAAAGGAACCAGAAATGAGCAAGCTTGCGGCTACTCTGCCTTCCTCGCGGTGGATAGGTTAAAGGACTACATGAGGGACGGGTCGGTCATTATCAGAGCCACCGTAGACATGAGGAGCTAGCGATGGAACTAATTTGCTGAGCAATTCTCCGAGATTTGGCCTGCTTGGAAAGCTCTCGTGTGATATAGACATTCGTCATTTTGCTAGCCGCAAGGACGCGTAATGGATGGTATTCACTGGACGTGATTGTATGGAAATTGCACGTTCAAGAAACGTTGCGCATGCACTCGACCAGCTACAAGCGGAGTCAGCTTTGACCCTCGGTGAATTTCATCCACACGATGGTCAGGTACCAAGAAACGTTTACGGCCTGGACGGTATTTATGGGACCCGAAATTTTCTCAGGCTTCGGTTTCTGAAGACACAGCCCGTCTGCGTCCTGAGCGAGTGAGCTACGGTTTCTTAAATGTGAACATCAACTGAAGAAACACAAATGAGCGTTGGACTACGTCTTATGGACGACCTCACGGAGCTCCGAATCATTTCTGGTGGTGTCCGTGTATTTCAGAATGTGCATACATGTCGATGACGTGTATACATGTAACTCTAGGCATTATTGGTGCAGACGCCAGTGCTGAAGGACAAGCACGCGTTATAGAATGCAAGGTGCGCTTTGACTTTCCCACCCAGGGAAAGAGTCGCCTGGTCATGCGTTGGGAATCGCGGTGGACCACGTATACTATCCTTGTGTACAGCGCGGGGCTATTCTCTGTTTCCAGTGCCAAAACTGAAATCATATTTCCAATATCTGTTTTTATGACGAAATATAGTATTTTGGAATGCATCATAGGCATTCGCGTTTAACGTTTCAAAAAATCTAATCTGTTTGGTTTACTTGTATTTCTAGCTGTACAAAAACCCCAACATACAGTTTTGTACTTCGTTCTCAAAGCAGGGAATACGCCACAAAATATTATGTTGTAGTTGTTGTTTTCAAACAGAATATTTCGAAAGTTTCAGATGTACAACCCTCGTTTTGTTCAGAGAACCATATTCTTGGGGATCCCTGAAAAGCCGCGTCTTTAAATGAAACGACGGAGATGCCTGAGAAATTCAGGAGGTAGGTATCTTTACAAGTTCTTACCAACTTCGACTGCCATTCATGTTAAAAAAAAAAAAGTGTGAGTTATCGTTTTTGTAAACCAATTACGACGAACAATAGAAAGATCGCAATCAATGACGAAGCTCAGAAAGCGCTTACACAAAAAGCGCCATATGCGCAGGGACAATACTAGGCGAAACGTCATGCCGATTGCTTCTGCGCGTATTCTCTGGATGTTGTTTAATCATGTACTTGGCTTTTTTCAATCGCTGAGATCCTTCTATTATTCGCCGTGATTGGCTAAGTACGCGTCCTGCAGGAAAATGAAGTTTTGGGGATGTGTATATACTTTGTCTCATCCTACAATGGACTAAAGGCCAAAGCCACGGGCCGCCAGGTCCAATCACGTTCTACGCTAAACTATGACATGCCTACCTTTGATTGGGGGTGGACGAATAACGCTCCGAACCCAAAAACGCTGCATCATTTCTATATCTTCGACGCTGCAAACAGCCTGTACGTCGCGGCTTTTTTGCAATGTAAAATTGTTGAGTCACTCACTGCTATTCGATTCGAACCACTCTCCGCCCATCCCCATCAGTGATCCGAGACGCGGGCTGATGCGTGCATCAAAGCGCAATACCACGCAATTTCTTAGTGGCTCGTGATTGGACCTGGCGGTCCGTAGCTTTTGCCCTTAGTCCATCGTAGGGTGAGACGAAGTATAATAGAACATTCTTGGACGAGGAATGCTAGTGGCGCCTACCATCGTGTGAAGCGAAACCTCATATAATGTCGGTGGTGCGTGTGCCTTTGGGACTAAATACAGAAGAATTGCGGGGAAAAAAAAGACTTTAAAGAATAAAGGTAAGTCAGTCTTAAAAGTAATTATCTGATTTCGCAATTGAGGAAAGAATCGAGAAACTCCGAAAAATTATTCGTTCAGCAATATTGAAGAGTGTTTGTTTTTGTCAGGCTTGCAAAGAACAGATTGCTAAGAGAAACAAAGTGGTTGCATATTTCTGCTTTACATCGCGCGTGCAGTGGTTCTACAGCGGTACGACGACAATGTCAAGATGTGCTTATCCGGGAGCAGAGTGCCGAATAGCACCTGCTTACACCATGGCTAAACATAAATAACATCAGCCCGCAACACTTTTCAAAGCTCCAAGCTTATAACCCGCTGCTTCTTTCTTTTGTTCTTTTTTTGGGGGGCTCTTTTTTATATTTATTTGGCCGTCACAGGAGTCTGTGTTTATCTCCAAGGCCGGTTCAAACATAGTACATCGCAGTGCTAAATGAACACTAGGAGCAGCGCTGATGCAACGTGACTCGAATGTAACTTAGAAGTTAGAATAATCCAGCAGTTATCAGCGCTGTATGACCAATACAGCGCGAAGTAAGCGTTACCTACTTTTAGCGCTGTGGTAGCACTCTGGTATTTCTGTGAACATGCCTTTAAATTGATCAGGAGCGTCGACTCTGGATCTTACCCTTCTGTCATATTCTGTTCGGTGCCGGTGTGCGCAGACAAATTCAGCCTAAATGCGCGGTGTGCTTACAGAAACAAGGCCTACGCGAGCAGGTCTAGACCAGATATTGCGGGTGATTCGGTTTTAATTGTGTGTGATAAATCAGGAACGTCGCTCTAGTGGCCATAACGCGTACGTGGCGATGAGATGCAAGCATGTATTGTTGACAAAACGTAGCCGTGTCGATGAAACTTTATTTTGACATAAAGTCAATAAGCCTTCATCGGCGAAATGGGACGTTACATTTGGTGGGCCAAGCACAATTTGTATTAGCATATTCAAGGTGTTTACTTTTCTAACTAACACCAGAGTCTTGAACGAAGAAAAATGTGCTCTTTGGAATGATAAAAAATGGTATACTCTGACAACAACTAACCGTTTAAAAGTAACTTACCTGCAACGCACGTACAGTGCCCGGAGAGGATCGGGTGACAGTGTTTTGCAAGAATTCACATATTGCACGCCTTGTTATCGTTTTGTCCTGAAGGTACGCGGCAGAGTACATCGAGCATTCGCACGCTCGGGGCGTTTCTCGGCTGGCAAGCCTCAATTCCCACAACTGCGTTTGAATACGAGATCATGTAACATCGACATATAACTGTCTGGTGAGGTATTGAGCATCAACGAGAATGCTGGCAATATAAATCTGCGCGCCGCACGTGCTGGCGCCTGCAGCAGAACCTTTTCTAAAGTAGAATTCTAAAACAAACAACATCTCGCACGCGCGTTTCTCAACGCCTTATTTTGGTTATTTACTGCGCAGACGCGCGAGACGCGTACCGCGAATATGTGGTACGTGTCTCGCGTACTACGTACTTGTGGTAATGGCCCCTCTAGAGCCACTAAATGAACTGCGCTTAGAGTGTCGCCACTTTGTTCCCCGACATTATTGTGGGCACCGCCATTTTGGTTCGTATGCAGAGCAGACGCAACTGCCAATCGTCATGTTTAAAAGTGCGACTTCTTCAGCATTAGAAATCATGGTGTAAAGCGCAAAAAACAACGGACAGAGGAGAGAGAACAGAAATGCTGGCGCCACTCACCAACTATATTTGAAAAGTGCAGAAAGAAAGGAATACATACATCGTCATCTTCATCACGTCCACGCATGCCCTTAGCCATGTGATTATACGCTTCATCTCCAGTTCACAAGAACTTTTAAAATAATCTAATCTCGGCATTATAGAGTGCAATAGATGTGTCACTTACGGATTGTGTACCCCTCTTTCTGATAAAATACGCTTCCAATAACTCGTGCGTGTTTTTACACTTGCCTTTGCCCAGAATCGCTGTCTTAGTTTGCGCGCTCTCTTATTTTTCGCGTGCCCCCTAGCGTATTTTATCAGAAAAAGGGGTACACAATGCGTAAATGACATATCTATTGCACTCTATAATGCCGAGGTTAGACTATTTGATAAGTTTTGTGAATGGCTGATGAATATCACATGACCAAGCGCATGCGTGGACGTGATGAAGATGACGATGTGTGCATTCCTTTCTTTCTGCACTTTTTAAAAATAGTTGTGAGTGGCGCCTGTATGTCTGTTTTCTTTCTTGTGTCCGTTGTTTGTTGCGCCTTACACCATGATTTCCAACGTTCACCAACTAGCCCAACCACAAGTTTTTCTATAGTACATTTCCTCAGCATTAGATTCGGTGTTAGGAAGGTCATGCAATATTGCTTTGCTCTGTCGCGAACTGTTTAAACATTTGTGGAGGACGGAAAAGCGTTTCCTGTGATTTCAGATAAAGCTTCAGATAACTGGCAACCTCGATTTCAAGGCACAATATGGCCAAGTGTCGTTACTCTGAGGCGTAGCTTATTTAGTAGCGCTAGGCCCCTCATATCAGTACGATGGCTAGAGGAGGAGCTGTCAGCATCGCTATCGTGCCTGGAGCGCGTCTTTGACTGGTGTGTTTGGCGTCCTATCCCGCCCATACAACATAAGTGGTCCCAAAGTGGCAACAAATGACGTCACAAAAGCCGGAATGTCATGCTGTAGCCTGTCGCGATCCTGGCGGCTGGTCGTAGAATAGCTGGCGAAAAGCACGAGCGAACGCGAGTGTCGCTGTCGGCACGGCGTCCCAAGCGTCCCAACTTCCCGCTGTTGTAGCTTCCGTGGACTGTCGAAGTGAAGAGCGACCTGCAGCAGAACAGGCGTCTGCCACATCCACCACGGCTGCTGAGACACCACCAGGGTCGCGACCGGCGACAGCATGACACTTGTATGACGTCATCAGGCGGAAATCGAGGGACCACTTTTTTGGAGGCGGTAAACACACCAGTTGGAGACGCGTTCCAGGCACCATAGCATAGAGTTATTATAATGTACGCTAAAGGTTCAACTGGCGCTAGTGTGCTGCTGCAAATTGAAGCAGACAGCAACCAGTCCGAAATTGACTTCCGGTAATGCATTGCTATGGGAAAAAGCGAGTGCATTTTCTCTCTGCGCTCGATTATAAGAGCAAATATCACGAATAATTCGTACGTACTAGGTGGCTTGGAACTTTTCTCAGTCACGCAGACGAAATAATTGGTCAGTTACAGCGTTTTCATTTGAAATTCGTGGTACGAAAAACGATGCTAAAACCGCTTCGTACGTGTATTTATGTGCACTGTCGGACACTGTTAGCGCGAACACGGCGTCGGCACTTTTCAACATGAGGGACATACGTACTAAACGAAAGAAGGACATGTGGAAAACCAAGAGAGGCGGCAAGAACTACACAGTAACACTGGATAAGTAACTCTTTGTGCATGCAGACGATCAAATAAATTAAAAGTCACGTACTATAGTCAGATTTGTAATAAATAAGTACTGCTTTCTTCTTTCTGCTCATGAATATGTGCAAAGATGCATGTTCTGGGTTCAAATCATCACCCGCAGGCTCCAGATCTTTGCGAATGGGGAGAAGCCAGAGAACAGGTGCCCGATTAAAACTGCCCGACATAGGAAATAATAAAAAGACACACCTCTCGTAGCCCACATACTTTATTTTTTTAGCAGACTGTAAAGATGCACGACGCAGTCTTCATATAGTGACAGAACGGACATATTAGCAATATATAAGCGCCACCGGAATGCTGTTGAACCTTAAACGCACTCTACATTCCTTTCGATTGTTATTTTGCTTAGAATCGTCGCTTGTTTTTACACACCGGCTGTTGAACAGAGGTTTGAGCCTGAAATAGAGCGAAGTTTAACGTCGTTCAGTGGTAAAGAAAAATGTTGTAACTCAATCAATTACACTTTCAGAATATCAATAAAGGTACATACTATCCGTTACAACCGAAATAACAAAAGTTATTCGTGTTATCTTACGGCGAAGAGACAAAATTCACGTGCGTTTTCCCATGTGAATGCACACGAACACCGCAAAAGTAGACTGGTTGCTGTCTGCTTCAATTTGCCTCCCGGAAGTCGCATAGACACCAGCGCCATTTGAACCTCTAGCGTACATTATAATAACTCTTTGCACCATAGCATCGCGCAGCTTGCCCCGTGTGCGACGGCGACCAAGTATATCATAGCGACGAGATGTGGCGCGCTCAACGACTTTTAGATGCCTATGCGGAGGGCAGGTTCGTCTGCTTCTTGCGCAGGGGGTAGCGGTGACGTCAGAACGGCGAGCCCTGATTGGCTGATCGCGACCCCCTATCTGAGCGTCGTCTGCTCCTTTGCAACGTCGTCTGCTCGCAACATCGTCTGCGCCTGTCTTACCTTTCCTGCGACTTTCGGAAGTGCAGGTCTTTACGAGCGAGCTCGATTTCTTCGCCTTTCGGAGAGGGCAGACGAAATAACTCGAGCGGGACGTTGTTTTCGTCCAACAGCTAGCAGATGCGCATCAAGGAGAGAAGTCAAAGGACTCACTGGCGAGGTGTCCCGAGGCGCCGAGGTTTGTTTGCTAAGGACCGAGAGTGAGGGTGGCTATACTTTGTTTCAGCTTACGATGGACCGCAAGGGACTCTATGAGGAGCAATTCATAGCTCGGAGGGCGTCACATGCCCTTCCGGTTGGGTGGAGCGACGCAGACAGCGCGAGGTCGCGAGACAAGCTAGGAACTATACGGATTGGTTCGTGCAGCTTGTAGCATCCATCGCGGTACATCGTAAGGTGAAACAGAGTATAGCGTCCGCAAGTTCCCTCCCAAATACTTTTTCCCTCCTTTCGTGTACGGCGAGACTCCTCACTCTTTGACGGCGTCAGCGGGTTGGCGCGGTTGGCGCAGTTAACGTCGTCTGCTTTACGTCTGCTAGTCAAAGCGATGGCTGCTTTACCTTTCCTGCGTCTGTCGGAGATTCACCGCCTTTTCACCGGCGAGAACGCGGCCTTCGAAAAAGGCGAAAGGAAAATACCTTGAAGAATACATCCTTTCTTTTGAGGTGAAGGATTTCACTCTAGTTGCGAATGTCCAGGCGTCGTTTAAGAATTATAGCTCGGTAAAGAAGGCGCTCTCCGATAAAGGTGACATTTTAGAGAGTCACTGTGAGTGCCATCGCGGAGCCGCAAAGTGCAGCCACATGGTGGCTACAGCACTTTACGCGGCTCTAAATGGACTGTCCAAGACGGACCCACAGCAGTGGCTGCAACGCCCCAAGATAAGCATGCCGTGGCAGATCGCTCACTCAGGTAAGAAGTAAAAACTATGTTCATCGCTATGTTAAAACGTTTAGTTGCACGAGTTTCGTGAATGGTACCTTGAGTTTAATGAGTTGTTCAAAGATAATCAGCTAAAGACAGATGACAGCCGATATAGTGACTGTAAATAAACAAATGCGGCTGTGCGATCGGTAGTGTGAGCACATCATAGCCTAAAAGTGCTCGATCGCTGCTTGTTGTTACAACTTTCTCGCTCGACTAAAAGGCTGTTGTCAGTTAGCGTATTCGGGTATGTATGTGTGGCGTAAACCCAAGTGGCGAAAGTTTGAAAACCTGCGCTAATCTGTGGAAGAGAATCCGAGCAAGATTGATCGAGCTACCCGAGCGGCGTCGAACGTATCGCGCAAGTTATGTCGTAGACTCGTTGACACCAAAAAGTAATTGTTGTTATAATGCAATTAAACGCAAAGGTGCAAGCGAGCTGGACAAGACTGACAAATATAATCCCTGGAGAAGGGGAAAAAGGGGGACAAAGGACAAACACAAATCTTTTTCGAAGGCCGCGTTCTCGCCGGTGAAAAAGCGGTGAATCTCCGACAGACGCAGCAAAGGTAAAGCAGCCATCGCTTTGACTAGCAGACGTAAAGCAGACGACGTTAACTGCGCTAGCCGCGCCAATCCGCCGACGCTGTTAAAGAGTGAGGAGTCTCGCCGCACACGAAAGGAGCGAAAAAGTATTTCGGAAGGAACTTGCGGACACTAGCCACCCTCACTCTCGGTTCTTAGCAAACAAACCTCGGCGCCCTGGGGCACCTCACCAGCGAGTCCTTTGACTTCCCTCCTTGATGCACGTCTGCTAGTTGTGAGACAAAAACAACATACCGCTCGAGTTATTTCGTCTGCCCTCTCTTAAAGGCGAAGTCGAGTTTGCTCCGAAAGTCGCAGGAAAGGTAAGACAGGCGCACACGACGTTGCAAGCAGACGACGTTGCAAAGGAGCAGACGACGCTCAGATAGGGGGTCGCGATCAGCCAATCAGGGCTCGGCGTTCTGACGTCACCGCTACCCTCTGCGCAAGAAGCAGACGAACTTGCCCTCCGTATTGCAGACGCCACGCCGGGAAACGCTCGTTCGCTTCGCTAGAAGTTCTCGTTTGTGATGCTCTTCCCGGAATGATAGCTTCATCCGTCCAGACTACCGTAATAACAAAATGACAAACACACTAAAGAAATAGTCGTTGTTTATAGAGCAGCAGCTTAGTGTGCCAGAACATGCGACATTGTTACCCTCTTTAGACGAGCAATTAAGCCTGTGCAGTACGACTGCTAGGCTGGTGTCTTTAACGTGCACCACGCACAAGTGATACACGACGCCAGTACGATGGTCATCCAGATCGAAACGGGCAAGGGTGGGGATTGAGCAAGCTTGTTGGATTGAGCCCAGGATCCCTGGGTCAAAGCCTCGTCTAAATAGATGCCTGTCATACGAGAGCCGCGCCGTCCTGCCGTACCCCCTCCTCTTACCCTCTGCCAAACGGCCGAAACGGCCGCAAGAGGCGCTGACTTTCGTCCACCAGTCGACGACAAACTTTGTGGAAGCTATGGCAAAGATCATCGGCAGCATCTCCTGGTACTCATCACCAAAATATTTATGAAGTCTCTCTTCTGCAATTATGGTCTGGAAGTGAACAGGAATGCTGCCGTGAATCGCTTTGAGCGGAAACCCCTATCCGGCAAAGTGTCGAAGTTGGGAAAGCATTTATCTGGCGCCTGCATTTTGACAGAATAAATACCCAGATAAATTTATGCCATGCACGCAAATTCGCCTTTCTGACATTTTTTAGAGCGCAGCTCTTAGGGGCCCGTTCCCGGCTTGAGCGGCGTCGCCGTCGCCGTCGGCGTCGGCGTAACCAAGGTCATCCCAAGGCCACGTGGCCCCCAAGGTCATCCCAAGGTCACGTGACCCCCAAGGTCACGTGACGCCCAGTCTCGTGACCCCCGAGGTCACGTGACCCCCCCCGGAAGTCACGTGACACCCCCAGGTCACGTGACCACCCCCAGGGTCACGTGACCCCCGCCGAGGTCACGTGACCTCCCCAATGACGTCATCGATGACGTCACCGGCATCCGCATCGTCATCGTCATTATCACTGATGACCTCATCAGTGACGTCACTGATGACATCATCAGTGATGATGACGATGACGATGCGGATGCCGGTGACGTCATCGATGACGTCATCAGTGATGATGACGATGACGATGCGGATGCCGGTGAGGTCATCAGTGACGTCACTGATGACGTCATCAGTGATGATGACGATGACGATGCGGATGCCGGTGACGTCATCAGTGACGATGGCGTCATCGGGGAGGTCACGTGACCTCGGCGGGGGTCACGTGACCTGGGGGTGTCACGTGACTTCGGGGGGCATCCGCATCGTCATCGTCATCATCACAGATGACGTCATCAGTGACATCACTGATGACGTCATCAGTGATGATGACGATGACGATGCGGATGCCGGTGAGGTCATCAGTGACGTCATCAGTGATGATGACGATGACGATGCGGATGCCGGTGACGTCATCAGTGACGATGTCATCGGAGAGGTCACGTGACCTCGGCGGGGGTCACGTGACCTGGGGGTGTCACGTGACCTAGGGGTGTCACGTGACTTCCGCATCGTCATCGTCATCATCACAGATGACGTCATCAGTGACATCACTGATGACGTCACCGACATCCGCATCGTCATCGTCATCATCGCTGATGACGTCATACGAGTCCGCATCGTCATCGTCACTGATGACGTCATCAGTGACGTCCCTGATGACATCATCGGCATGGTCACGTGACTCCCCAAGGTCACGTGACCCCCCAGGTCACTTCACCCCCGGTACCCTTCCCTCCTCCTCCTCAAGAGCTGCGCTTTAATTCATTGTTACAGGGAGTTGTAAACGGCTTTCACTTTTTTTTAATGTAGAATGTGTGTCGGAATTGTCTTTTGAAAACCTCACGTGAATGGTAGTTCCTAAAACACTATTTGATTAGTGGCTGCAACACTCTAAAAACTCGTTCTCGCAAACGGTTCTCTCGTATCAGTATTGGCGCATGGATGGATATATCGTAAACGACCTGATTTTTGATAATTCAATATTTTGCGAAGGATGAAAGCCGTTTACAACGCCCTGTAACACCGAATTAGAGCGCAGCTCTTGAGGAGGAGGGCAAGGTACGGAGAGGGGGCTATGCCCCTCCTCTTCTCCTGCTCGCTCCCCATTTAGGCGAAAATTTTTCGCTAAATTTTGCGGGGAAAATGTATCGCTAAATTTGGCGGGAAAATTTTTCCGCTAAATCTAACGGGAAATCTTTTCCGCTAAGTTTAGCGGGACATTTTTTCCGCTAAATTGAGCGGGGAGAATTTTCCGCTAAATTAAGCGGGGAAAATTTTCCGCTAGATTTAGCGGGGAGATTTTTCCGCTAGATTTAGCGGGAAAAATTTCCGCTAAATTTATCGGGGATATTTACCCATCATGCGCCGCGCGGTTACGCCGACGGCGACGCCGCCGCCGACACCGACGCCGCTCAAGCCGGAAACGGGCGCCTAAGAGTTGCGCTTTAAAAAAAAAAAAACGCGCACCACGCTCGAGTATAAGCATAGCCTCGTCAATAACATTGCGTTCTTACTTTCTCTGGTAGTCACCGTTCCCTAGGAGAAACCGAATGCAACGGTTGTTATATTTAAATATGAATGTTTTTCGATTTGAGTCACTTTACATCAACTTTGCATGAGCGTGTGCGTTCCATATTCGCAAAGTATCGTTTTTAACCTTTAAAATGCCGGTTTCTGGTGTTAGGGCCCACACGGACGTTTAGGAAGATGGGAAGAGTTAGGAATGGTCGGATGTGCAACTTCGAGCATGATAGTTCTGTGTTTACTTTTATGCATGCAGCAGGCACTTAGCCAGGGCGGCAGAAGATATCAAGGGGGGGGGGGGGGGGGGGCGGGGGGGGGGGCCTGCCCCCTTCCCCCGCCCCCCCCCCCCCCTATATCTTCGATTTTGCTGGGACCCTCCTCTTCCCCCCTCCCCCTCATACAGCATTTTGTCATGGGCGGCCCCCCCGAAACAAAATCCTGGCTACGTGCCTGGCATGCAGATACATGAAAACCGCGAAATAACGCTAAAATAAAAGCAATATTATTTTGTTTTGGCACAATCTACTTGTGAGTCGAAAACAGGATTGTAATGATTGCGAGAAGTGCTTTAAATTTCTGGTCGATCTTCTGTTTTTGAGGCAGAAAATATTCAAGACACCAACAAAGGCTCACTTATACGCACAGTTACCGTGTCGCCTACTTTACACCTCGCCGTAAACGCTGGTTGCATTGTACTGTACGATGGTAACCCCGCACGACTGCACGGCGTCCTTTTGCAACCCATGCCTGCGTGCGCAGACATTTGCCAAATTTTTGCCGAATCTTTGCCGAATCTTTGCCGAAATTTCCTTCAAATGTTTGGCATGTGCTCAACTTTGCCGATTCTGAAGTTCGACAGATTCGGTCCATCATTATCAAAAACTGAGCGACGCCGCGTCGCTGAGCGCCGTAACCATAGAAACTGCCGCCATCGTCGGTGCCAAGAGGTGGAAATGTCGCGCCCCCGACCTACTGTAATCCTGACCTGCCCACAGAATGCCTCCATGAGGGAGACGCTGTCGCCGATGAAGCGCCTCGCTTTGCCGTTGGGAGCGCTCAGCATAGGCTTTTCTGCGACCCAAACTCAGTTCACAGCCGACCCACACGGCGCGCGGCTTCTGATTACTGTTCTTCGGGAACATCTGCCGTAGCGTGCCGCCTGTAGGTCGCTGTAGCACACTGCAGCAGGGCGCACTGCCGGCATCGCTCTCGTGTGTACACGTAAGCGCAAGGGCGTTTTCTAGCCCTGCTGCTCTCGTGCCATTGTCGAAATAAGCGCGTTGATCACCCGTAAGCAGCCATTCGTCATTAGTAAAGCCCCATTCATGTTTC